ATAAAGAAATAATCAATATGAGTTACTAATCGTTTTTAGAAATAAAATGTCAATGTTCATTAATTCCTTAAACTAAATTTTATATTAAAATAATAAATTTAACGAATTTATAATTAATTATGTACATAGGTACAATGTTATCTCAAAAAAGAAAGTTCGTATTCGTAGAAGATTATGAATTGTGGTTTTTATCGTTGAAATCCCATAGTTTTTTTTTGATTCCAGCAGTTCTAAAAACTTTATTGTATTTTCATTATTCCACTCGAAAAGTATTTTGGTAGATCGTACTTATTTAATAACAAGACGGTACGCACGTCCGTTCATCCAGGCGCTTGGCGCGAAGTGAGCGATGGAGCTGAATGTGAACACTCACTGCCGCTCGCGCTGCCCGTCCTTTGACTTCCGCACGAAAAACTGACATTTGAGCGATCGTCGGGCAGTGGCAGCGGCAGCGGCAGTGTCAGCGCGAGTAGCCTGTTTACACACTGCCCTGCTCACTGCTCTGCTCACTTCCCTGCCCAACAGGGCTGAATGTAAATGGGGCATTAGAAAAACAATCCGCTTCTTTGTATCGCCGTAGATGGATAAAGGTAGGAAAATTATATTTTGCTGAACTGATAATACCTAACATTGCATTTAAAGCTCCGTCTATTTATTGATGTATTGGATTGGATGTGTCATAAATCATAACTCGTGTGAAATAAAAATATAAATTGCTTTAAATACCTATAGCGCCATCTATATAGGTAGGCCAGGTAGTAAAGTAATTAGTTGTTGACTGAAATATAAACCATGATAAATAGAATATTATATATTTTCCGGACCAATACGACTTAGGGATAATCAAGAAATGAGCCTATTCCTTTTTAAAAGGCCGGCAACGCACCTGTAATTCTGTAATTCATGGGCGGCGGTAATCACTTACCATCAGTTGAGCCGTATACTCGTTTGCCCCCTCTAAAATAACAGGTAGATATATTATAAGAATAACTTAAACTCAGGAGAGTGTGAGTGAGAATTTTATATCCCACGACTAAAAAAAAACTGTAGTTGCAAAAGGGGACATTATGTCTAATGCGCAGTTCCTATGATACTAGTGTGTGATGATATATACTTATAATATATCTAACCGATCTATTAAAAGTATATATCATTCCTAACGTAACACTGCACTGTACGGAAAGTCCCTTCCAAATCCGTTCATAGGTTTTGCGTGCTTGTGCAGACCGATAGAAAGACGTTTTAAAAAAAAGTTGTGTTAACATAACGTATCCCAATCATAGAATACTATAATATATACATAATAGAACGGGGGAGTGGGCGGAGCCCATGTAGCCACTAAAGTACCACTAACACGTCAATTCACACGTATAAATGTCAACACGAGATGTGTTTTGACGTTACAATCGTTTCCAAATTTCGTATGCAAATTATTTAGAAAATGTCAAATTGCACGCTATTTACAAATAAATATGTATTAAAATCCGTAACAACCTGTCAACACAGCGAATCGGGTTTGTAGTAGTGATGTACTGATAATACGACGTAATTGGTTGTATGTGTGCTCCCGGCGACGCCTATCGTCGTACAAAATAGTGGTGACAGCCATTCTATTGTGTATAGTAGTATTTATTCTATGATCCCAATTCAAATTTCAAAAAAAATATTCAATGTACAAAATAAACGTGTTAGAGCTTAATTGTGTTAGTGTTTTATTATAGTATAGAGATACGATTACGATTTTTGTTACTGAATGTGATGCAGCCAACGACTACACAGCCCGAATAGACGCCTCATGAAAGGCGAACACTTTCTGTCAACACGTCAGACAAATACGTCTTACTTAAGAAAACGATCGCGCGATCTACTTTAGTAGCGACCACTTCCCTGACCCGTGAACATCTTGCATGTGACTCGTGAATTTTCGACAAAATAAAATACAACAGTCGTTATTTAAACTACTTTTACGGATTTTATCGCGTTTAATTTATATGATTTTTAATTCTCGAAGTTTCGGGTGCTTTGCAGCACTCATGGCCTCGGGGCGCTGAGGTGACTGACGTCCCGATGTCAGTGTTAACTCAGAGTACCTGCGCAACATGGTTCCCTGTACAATAAAATAGTGCGGAAATCGTAGCCAAATGTGTAATTTAAAAAAATGCCATCACTTTTCATAGATAAATGAATTTTAATTTCCAAATTCTTTAAATAAAAATTAAATCAGAGCTCAACCTATATTTGTCACAAGCAACTCGCATTGATTTATCTGATTCGGACATCTTCGGATATTCTCGGACTATGCATCTCTTTCTTTTCAATGCAGTTCTTTGTTGCTATACTTTTCTTTAACTACCGGCACGTGTAACTATTGCTGTACTACTTAAACTATATAATATTGTTGCAAGTAAATATTATGCATGTTATCGTGAATGTTTTACAGACTTATTACTATGACGAATAAACTAAAGGAATGTACTTAATCCAAACATAATAAAATCAAATTATTCAAAACTTCTTAAAAATAATTCATAATTTTAATAATCAACTAAAACTGAAATAATCAATCCATAAATACAGTAAAATATTTATCATCAAATTGGTCCTGGGCTCCTGGGTGTTAGTGTATGTATCTTAGATGAAAATGTTCTTTGTAACGTTTTATATATAAAAATAATAATAAGGGTAACTATTTTTTTATAGATATTGTTATAGATTTAATTGTTTAAAATTTCTGGCCTTTCAAGTGCCTTGCAGCAATCGAAACTAAAAATAATTTATATTAAAATTAAATTTTGACTTAAAATGAATATTTGATAAAATCAAAGGAAATTTAATACTACTGTGTAGTATAACATTAATATATATATATATATATATATATATATATATATATATATATATATGTGTGTGTGTGTGTGTGTGTGTGTGTGTGTGTGTGTTTTGGCTTTTTTATGTAGTACTACGAACATGAGTTTGAGAAGCACGGTCCTGAGCCATCAATTTCATGTATATTTTACCAGGATGTCGCTTCATCTAATGAAGGGTTGTCCTATACTTTGGCTTACCTAAACTCTGAGCATATCCCTCCAACGAGTTCTGAGCAAATATTTAGGTAATTGAGCATAATGCTGAAATTCTCCGGTAATTCTGGCATCATGATTACATCGTAGTCAAATTGAAGGTGAGTGATCTACTCGCAATTAATGTTGATACCAGTCCAGTAGCTGTACAACATCTTCTAACGTGGCGGAGAAGAGTTTTGAGGATTTGACGTCACCCTGTCTTACACCTTTCCAAATAAATACGGTATACCTTTTATCCTCCATGCCCTTTCGAATGTACTTGGAGAAATGTGTTCAGGCCGTAAACCAGATTAAAACTAAGATAGAAGTTTATTTTTATATATAAAGGCAGCCACTTATTGGTAAACTAGAGATGTCATTTATGGAGATCAACAAGCTACATAGTTATACAATTAATGGGTGACTATCATTTCATAACTATGTCAGTCGTCATTTAAAAAAATAGAATATATATTTATTTTATTATATTATTTTAAAAGAGTTTGAGTGTATTTTAAAATAAATAAGTAGTTAATTTATTGCAATATTAAACACTGGGTAGTTAACTTATCGTAGGAAGAACGTGACATAAGGCATAAAGACTGAATATCATTAGCTTTAAACAAACAAAGTTCGTAAGTTTAATCAGCAAATATAAAAGCTTTCCGACGTGTTGATATTAGCAACAACTTCTTCGATATAGTTAATTATGTAAAATACCGAATATGTAGATTTGATGCACGCTTATAATTGGATACTGAGAATAAAAAAAATATAGAAATATAAAATTAAATTTCACAGTTTTCAGAGATGAATATATAGTACAGGTTGGGTAAAAAATCGTGATTCCAACGATAGTTGTGCAACGAGGGTTATTTGCAGTAAAAAATATCTCTGTGTAACTGATGAAGAAGAAAAGAAGATACACAAAGCCACTTGATGCTTAAAAGCACTTTCTCCATATATTCAAACTTTAGAATAAGCAGATTTCGTCAAAACATCAGTAAATTTACCGAAACCTACCCGAAACTATTTTTAAGCATGTTAAGCCCTTTGTATCGTACGCATATTTTCTACAAGTTATAGTGATCAAATACTTTTCTCTGAAACAATTATTTAAAAAAAAATGAAATAATTACATATTAATCAAAGAAGTATTCTCTCTTTTTTGTATTTTCAATTACAAAAGTCTTTATGCCTTATGTCACGTTCTTCCTAAAATAAGTTAACTACCCAGTGTCTAATATTGCAATAAATTAACTACTTATTTATTTTAAAATACACTCAAACTCTTTTAAAATAATATAGCTAAATAAATATTTATTTTAGTTTTTCAAATGACGTCTGACACAGTTATGAAATGATATCAGGTCACCCATTAATTGTATAACTATGTAGCTTATTGATCTCCATAAATGACATCTCTAGTTTACCAATAAGTGGATGCCTTTATTTATAAAAATAAACTGCTATCTTAGTTTTAATCTGGTTTCGGCCTGGACACATTTCTCCAAGTACATTCGAAAGGGCATGGAGTAAGGGCGTCGCCAGCCGATGGCGGAGGGGGGGGGGGGCAAGTTGACTTTACATACTACAATTCATACTTTTCTCATTCTCTATGAATGAGAAAAGTAGGTATGAATTGTAGGTAAAGTAGGTATGAATTGTAGGTATTCTGTGACAGTACAGAGTCTAATGTGTAACAAAAACAAACGACAAAAAAACACGAGCACGAGCTCTTGACTATGCAATAAAAAACTTGTAAATAAGTTATAATAACATTTATTAGAAAAATAGAATAAAAAGGAGTTTGAATTTGAATAAGTGTACAGCGTACAGCGTATTTTTTTTAATTATCAGTTTTTAATATTATAATGGTCGTTGTTTGTTTATATTAGGTTAATTAAAATATAATTTTCGGGGATTCATTGTAAACTTCTAGACCACTTTATTATTAAAATCTTGTAAGTTTCCATGTATAAGTTTTCGGTGCACACTCATCATGGCCAAACCATTGAGGCGATTTTCACTCATAGTGCTTCTTAGCCAGGTTTTTAGTCTCCGGAGGCTGCTAAACGATCGCTCTACCGTACACGTCGTGCATGGAAGAGCGATCAAAATTTTCAACGCTTTTTCCGTGTCGGGAAAGAAGGTTTTTGCTTCTTTTAGGATATCAACAACGGTTTGGTCTGTTGAGTTTGGTTTATTATGCCAGAATTGCTGCCAAAGCTCGACTTCAATTTTTATGTTTGGTAAATTATAAAACTGAGCGATAGTTTCACAAGTTTCTGTGAGATTTTCGACTGACATCGTTTGCATTTGTGCGGGGTGTAATTTAGATAAAGCAAATGATGGAGTATTTTCTTCAGCAAAGCGTGTTTCAAGCGATGTAATAACGGAGTCCGAGTATGGTATTATTAATGATCTTTTCCAGAATTCTGAAGGGCTTTCTGCTGGGTGATTGCTTCGATGACGTTGTTTCCCAACAATGCGCGGCATTGAAGTGATATCCTCCTCCAGGCCGACTTTCTCCGCAACAACAGTAGCATCCTTTATAATTTCATCTGTGACTCTTTCGGGATTATCACGGTGGCTCTTAAGCAATTGCAAAATGCGTTTGACGTATTGCGAGGCCTTAACTACATCCAAAGCTATGGATTGGAGTGCGTTGACAACAGGTTCTAACAAAGCAGAGTATTTAGCTATCAAAGTAATACAAAGTATAAACGAAATTTTGAAAGCAGCCGCATGGAGTTGAAAGGCATTTTTTCGAGTAGCACTGTTTCCTTCACGCGATAAGTTTTCTAAGGCTTCCAATATAACAGGAAAATTCTCCTTAAATACTCTGATAGTTTTATGTTTCTCACTCCATCTTGTTTCGCAGAGCCTGGCAATATTAGTACCAATTTTCTTCTCAAAACAGATTCCCGAAAAAAATTAATAATATCTTTAGTGGTTCCCATGGTGTTTCGAATTTCAGGAAGAATATTGAGATCATTTATTACCAGATTCAATTTATGGGACGAGCAATGAAAGAACAGTGCTTTGGTATATTTTTTGCGAAGGATCGCTTATACTCCACCGTCTTTTCCGGACATCGTCGAACAACCGTCAAATTCAAAACCAACGCATTTATCAGCAGGATTAAGGTCTTCTTTTGTCAGAAACTCATCGATGCAATATGCAATAGATTTCGCATCCAGACCTTTCAGCTCAACAAATCCGACGAACATTTCTTGGACCTCATTGGCTTCCTCGTCAAAATATCGCAGCCCAATCGATAATTTTCAGTACCGGAAATATCAGCTGTTTCGTCTGCTAACACACTATAAGCTTCTGCTTCTTTTACTTTTTTCACAATGTTTGCCTTAATAACATCTCCACAAATTGCGATAATTTCATTTTGAATAGCAATCGATCGATAGCTTGCATTCTTTTTCCCATGCTCAATGTGTTTCTTCAAAACTAAATCTCCCGCGTCAATTCGTAGCTTGTATAAGTCCTCGAGAATACCTTCGCCATAATGTTTTCCTCTCAGAGCTAAGTCGTGCGACCCGCAAAACGTAATGCAGGAAATAATAGATGTTATAATTTTTCGGTTTTCTTCAATAATGCCCCGGGAGTATTTGTTGAGTTGTAAATCTACAGGCACACTTCCAAGAAATGATTTAGCGGCTTCCAGTGCCATCTTATGGAAGTGGGTTTCCATGTGCTTTTTGCAATGCTCGTGAATATCTTTGAACTTACAAAACGGCCTTACGATAAATGACCCTAATACGCCTCTAAAAGAATTTGGATTTGGCGGGAACAATGTACAATATTTACAAAAGGCTCCTTTTTGGTGCCTGGAATGGAGAGTACGTTTCCAACCATGAATAATTAAATTTCCTCTTCAAATGTTTAGCGTCTTCCGCAAAGTCATACGTCGCAGACGGAGACCAAGTGTTTTCAAGCAATTCTTTCTTCATTTCAGTCGATAACATTGATGCTTGTCCAATAAATTTACCGATGTCATTTTCGTTGCAGTCATTTATCGAAGAGTCGGGAACTAAGTTCGGTTCTTTGGATGTGCTAGGTCTCGCCAGGTCACCCACGGAATCATCGCTGTCACTGCTTGCTCCTTCAGGTTTCTTTCTTTTTAAAACTGCAAAATAAAATATTTGAAATAGCAACAACTTCTTCTGGTCCGCAATTCACATTGAAAGCATAAATACCCTTCAAGACGGCGGCAGGCTCGAGCCCGCGCAAGGACTAGCGTCAACGATATTTTTTATATCAACAGTCCTAGCTATTTCGAGCGCCTTAACCGCCGCGGCTATGCTCGCGCGGTCTCGGGCATCCTCGCTCGAGCACTTTAGAGCGGGCGCGACGACACGCACGCACCGGAGTCTCAAGCATACGCGAGCCGACTGTGCCGAATCGGCACTGCCGATATTCATTCATACAATTTTCTACTTTGAGCTATGTTAATACGGTCCTATTTTCGATTGAACCATTAAATTGAGCAATTTTCCTTTTGGTTTAAACTGACGACGCTTAAGAATGAGATATCGTGCCTAGAAACGGATCTTTGCGATTTTAAAAACCGATGCAAAATCAGCATTTATAATCAAATCAATTGACGTTATTTTACGGACGGAAAATACGAAAGCTAAACGCAAGTGATACTCACCAAAAAATTTTCTGATGTCCATATTGATTATGTGGTCACAGCAACTATTTAGATGTGATAATAGCGCACAAAACAAAGTAAAAGCGGGCAGTGGCAACGCTAACGCACGAATAAATGACAGACAGACGATAAAAGAAAGGCGGCTGTGTGGGGGGGCGCGGGCGTCACGCGGTTACATGTTGCTTTGCTTCCCCACTCCCTCTCTCCCGCTTCAACGATAGAGTAGAGCAGAGCGCAGCGTAGTACGGAATATTAAGAGTGGAATTGGTGAATTCATTCGAGTTTCGACGCACGGGAATGATTGTTCAAGGCTTGAACTTCAAGCAAATCAACTCAAATACTTAGGACTTTGGTTGCATTATATTTGGCAACTTTTTTAGAATCTCTAGGGGGGGCAGCTGCCCTCCCTGCCCCCTTGGCGACGCCCTTGGCATGGAGGATAGAAGGTATACCGTATTTATTTGGAAAGGTGTAAGACAGGGTGACGTCAAATCCCCGAAACTCTTCACCGCTGCGTTAGAAGATGTTGTACAGCTACTGGACTGGTAAGGATACGTTATCAATATCAATTGCGAGTAGATCACTCACCTTCAATTTGACAACGATGTAATCACGATTCCAGAATTGCTGAATAATTTCAGCACTATGCTCAATTACTTAAATATTTGCTCCCAACTCGTTGGAGGGATATGCTCAAAGTTTAGGTAAGCAAAGTATAGGATAACCCCTCATTGGATGAAGCGACATCCTGGTAAAATATACATGAAATTGATGGCTCAGGATCGTGCTTCTCAAACTCATGTTCGTAGTACTACATCAAAAAGCCAAAACGGTACTTTTGTAAATGATGAACCATTGCTAATAGGCCGAAGTGCGTAGAAGCTTCGGTGTCTTTCAATTTGGAGTCAAATAATTGTAAGCAAGTAAAGTTTTCGCTACATCCTACTGCATTGATTTGTTCAAAATTCTCTAAATTTTGGACAGCGGGGCCAACAGCGAATTGTTGGACTAAAACGAAACAAAGAAGAATTTGTACTTCCAATAATCATAAAAACGTTTAAGTTGAGTTGTTAAGTGATCTTATATCAAAGGAGTTTTATATGTGCAGAAGCAATTTATTTTGAGGCAAGATTCACGCTATGTTTTAGCTTGACCTGTATTTAAGAATGTAATGGAATTAAAGTTTTCATCCAATTCCAGATGTCTCAATAATCTGAAATTTTGATAATTAGATGCAGTATAAACAGCGGTGTTGGCCGCTGATGATCCGTAACTGTTATTAGCACTAGGTGCTCTGTTGCTCTTCTAGTCTCAGGCAGAAAAAGTGATTTCAGTTAAAATAAATCGAATGATAGGTAACATAAGAAGTAACTATGAAAAATGTCAGAAAGACCTTATGGCTTTAAACAGATGGCGGTATAAACATATTGTTTATGCTAGACGTAAAGTAACCATAACGACAACGGGGAGCAGCGCCAAAGGCGTCAATATTAGATACTGCGATCGTCAATTCGTCTGCCAAGCGTGACGATTAATGGAAATCCAGCCGACAACGCGAGAATCTCATGCAGCAGTCGAATTGTGGTGGTTGATTAAGAAGCGGCAAACGTCCTGATACCATCCACACCATCTGGATGCTTGGCGGTCCACTGCTGTACGTTTCACAAGGAGTTTTCTTCCGCGTACGACCTCTTTGTGGAATAGTTTACCACCGGCGATTTTTCCGGACCAATACGATCTAGGGACCTTCAAGAAAAGAGCTTACTCTTTTCTAAAGTGCCGGCAACGCACCTGCAATTCCCCTGGTGTTGCAGTTGATCATGGGCGGCGGTAGTCACTTAACATCAGGTGAGCCGCATGCTCGTTTGCCCCCTCTTCTATATAAAAAAAGATGAATAAGAAGAGTTCGCATTAATGAAGAGTTTTTGTAAGACTGATTTTTTAGTTTCCAGTTGAAGCTCTGATAATATTGAGATGATGATGAGTCAGTTTTGCGCTTGTGTTACCGTTACCGTTGCAGTCTATTAAAGTCCTCTACTGAACACACGTCTCTTCTATTGATTGTCTCATAAAGGGGATATTGATCATAGTTGCCACGCTTGGCAAGCGGGTTGCCAACCGAAGCTTTTTATTTTTAATCGTTATTATGAAGACGCTGCTGCACATCTCCTGATTTGTTTCCTTCAGCCGCTTCTTACGACACCCATGGAATGATATGGGGTAACGAATATTCTTACACCGCCACTACACGGGCACGTGTGCTTGTGTGAGCAAGCATTATCACAGAGAAGAAGCGGAGAGCAATTGACAAATATGTTGGATATCTAGCTGATCCACTGTTATTTGCAATCTTTATTATATACCTTCAGTAATTATTGTGCTGGGTCTCAAAAATTCAACCATACTGATTGAACTTTTAACAAGGTTATTGTTTATTGCTACTTACTTATTTTGATGCAAAGGTGTACAAAAAAGGAAAACAGTTTTAATACCCTATTTAAAACCCATTACATCTTTTATAATTAAGACAAAAATATCTTTGAGGTTGCTAATGCGAATTAAAATTCGTTGACCCAGTTGTATACATTGTTGCAAGGCCAGCTCAGTAATTAAGAAATTTTGTGAACGTCCAAAGAAGTAACAAGGAACTTTGCGGACAAAATGCTTTTAATTTATGTTGTTGATTAACGATAGTAATACTACAACATACAAAACGAACAATCAAACGTGACACACGCACACCCACATACACACACACATACACACACACACACACACACACACACACACACACACTCACATATACACACAATCCCATACACATATATATATATACATATTATTTTTTTAAATGTCCTGAGATATACGAATATGTAGCTTTTTTGTTTCAATTTTGTTGTTGGTATTGGGTGGTTGGTAGGCTGCAGGAGACATTTATAATTAGACGACAGTAAGTTTTATTTAAAAAATAAGTGTGACAAACGAGTGCATACGCACACCTTTAATCAGTTAATCGGTTATAATTATTAATAGTGCAATTGATGAGCTTAAAATTATAAAGCCGAAAGCGGATATTATTTGCATAACTGATAGTTCAAAAGCCAAATCTCCCTCCAGTTCATATTCAAGTTTCAGAAATTGTTTCCCTAGAGTTTAGACGTACGAAATTTTTTAGTTATTCTGGGGAATTTGATAGTGTTTTTTTAAATTAATTGTGTTTTCAATTACGCTATCTGTTTTTATTGTGTCATGAAATTAGATTAGGTTTTAAAGTTAGCAAGAATTGCTTCGCCCACATCATTGTACGGGCTTTGTTGTAAAAGTATACGCTTATACAACAAAGCCCAAATGTTGCCTCATGAATGATTTACTGACTCTGTGGAGTCGACAAACTGGTATCACTATATAGCTTCTGTTTGTTTCTGACGTTTACGAAGGTTTCCTTTTTCATTAAAATTACTTTTGTTTTTGTGTAAATACATTATGTTAAGTTTGTCTATCTCTCTGGTTGTTCGGGCTAATCTCCGAAATAGTGTACTGCAAAACATAACTATTAGTTATTGTTTATAAGTGTATAAACAAAACCCAAATTTTGATGTTACAATATTTTTTATGACATTGTTTACTACCGTGTAGAGGTAAAGCACACAATAGAAATATTGCGATGGCTTTTCGTCGTTAGTTAAATTATGTAAATATATTGTTCGTACGAACTATTGTTTCGGTCTCCGCGTTACTTTTAATTTGAATTAGGTCAATTCTTATTTTAGTTATTCTAAATGAAATAATTTAAAATTTTTAAATTATTAATAATTTAAAATGATACGTTTCTCATTCCAATATATATAAAGGCGATAATTGTAAGCCATAAAAGATATTTCTTTGCCTCGCCTCTTAGAAATGAGAGGTGGTTTGTGCCCAACTATGGGACGGATAAAGACTTTACATTGCACTAACTTTAAACAAAAATAACGATCCCCACATATACACAAAACAACAAAACAAAAGGGTTTTACTATGCCATTGCACGTTTCGTTTTCGGTCCCATCACCACTTACTAACAGGTCGGATAGTAGTAAGCATGATGTAAAAATGAAAATAATAAAGCTTTATCAATATTTGTCTGTAAAAATTGCTATTCGGTGAAATTAGAATCAGTTGGTATCAGTTAATATAATGATCGAATGGGAATTCGATCAGATATTCAATTACGACTACCATTGGTTATCCCAGAAAAGAGAGCTCATAATCTCACCGGAGAAAAGACTCGCTTAAATTTCTTAGGATTTGAGTGTGATGGCTTTTTCCAGGTCATATACTGTTTTTTTTCGTAAAAATTTAAAATTTTCTGAAAAAAGTAAATCGAGCTAAAACCGATCGTAATCTTATAGTAATAGTTTTGAAAAGCCTCGTGAAAAATTTAATCTTATTTGTATCCTACACATAGGTAAATATTCTGGGTAACTAACTCTTGGAGACCTTTTTGCACCTCAGAACGTTCACTAAAAATTTATGAACACTAGGATTATTGTGTGGCACGACTTTTTTTAACAACAATAGTGACCCTTTCGCCGGTTACCGTTGTCGCGCTTGTGACAACAGTAACCGGCGAACTTCAGCTTCACTCGTTCAGTTTGTTTGACGTGTTGGAGCTCGGTGGCCAGGTGTTTATTGTCACAGATCCCTCGTGCTCTCTAAAAAAAGATTTACTCACGGTAGCTATATTGGATTTACATGAGAAGTAAGCAGTGCTTTCTCTTCAAAGTCTTTCGTGATTATGTCGGTGACAATGTGAGCCCATCGCCACACCATCTACTTGCTTGTAGAACTCCACCATTCACAATAGGTAGGCAGTGTCTGAGTAATACTGCATATTTTATGGGCATGGTGTTTTTTTTCCAGCCTTCTAGTTACAATTGAGATGCAGTCTTCAACGCGATTCCATTAAAACATACTTGAAGCCGCTGAAGAAGAGTGGTCAGTTTTTACCATCAGCCAAGTGTAATGTCCCTCTGCAAGATA